CGTAGGTAGTGTAAAAGTGTAAATCCGACATTCACGTGGCAATATTTTGATAAGTTGAATGAAGGAGAGCGACAGAACATGGATGGCAATTTTCAAAAATAAACACATCTTACTTAGGAATGAAAACTGTTATGTTAGCAGTACAAAAAATGCTGAAGAATCCATCTTGTTAGAACATGTTTTTAAACTTTTCTCAATAATATCTTTCGATCCCTTGCCACAAGATGTTATAATAGCATTTATTAAAAGCATTGATCCACAAAAATCTGCAGAAGAAGTCTGTCTTCAATTAAAGCACTGTTCTTTATTCCTTCAAACGGAAAACAACGACATCCGCCTGCACAGCGTTGTACACGAAGCCATCAAAAATTATTCATCGGAGACCTTTGGCTGTAAACAAAACGAAAATAATTCTAAAAAGTGTGCAGCAGATCTTGCCTGTCAAGTTGCTTGGGCACTAAATCATTTTGAAGACAGAAAAGATGAAATCAAAATAATTCCACATATAATTAAATTCATAACAAATTCATCATTTCAACATTTCCTAAATAAGTTGATCGATGTAAAATCATTCCTTTTTTTCATTAGAAAACAAAAACTTGATGAAAGAAATTGGAAATTTGCCAAATATTTTGTTAATGTTTTGAAACGATTTTGCAACTATAAACTTGCAACTAAAGTACTTTATTAAATAACAGAAATTCAAGCTAAAGTGTTAGGTGTTGATCATATTGATGTTTCATATTCGTACAACGAGCTGGGTAAGTTGCTTACGGAGAATGGAGAATATGAAAAAGCTAAAGATTTTCTCGAGCGAGCAATGGGAATTCATGCAAAAACACTTGGACCTGAGCATGTTAATATTGCGACAACGTACAACAATCTGGGTTGGGTTTACAGAGGAATGGGAGAGTACGAAAAAGCAAAAGATTTTCATGAACGAGCGATGAAAATTCAAACGAAAGCATTTGGACATGACCATGTTAATAATGCGACAACGTACGCCAATCTGGGTTCGGTTTACAGAGGAATGGGGGAGTACGAAAAAGCAAAAGATTTTTATGAACGAGCGATGAAAATTCAAACGAAAGCATTTGGACATGACCATGTTCATATTGCGGCAATGTACAGCAATCTGGGTTCGGTTTACGATAATATGGGAGAGTACGAAAAAGCAAAAGATTTTTATGAACGAGCGATAGAAATTGAAACGAAAACATTTGGACCTGACCATGTTAATATTGCGACAAGGTACAACAATCTGGGTTTGGTTTACTATAATATGGGAGAGTACGAAAAAGCAAAAGATTTTTATGAACGAGCGTTAGAAATTTACACGAAAACATTTGGACCTGACCATGTTAATATTGCGGACACGTACAACAATCTGGGTTTGGTTTTCAAAGATACGGGAGAGTACGAAAAAGCAAAAGATTTTTATGAACGAGCGTTAGAAATTGACACGAAAACATTTGGACCTGACCATGTTAATATTGCGAAAACGTACAACAATCTGGGTTTGGTTTACAACGATATGGGAGAGTACGAAAAAGCAAAAGATTTTTATGAACGAGCGATAGAAATTAAAACAAAAACATTTGGACCTGACCATGTTATCATTGCGACAACGTACAACAATCTGGGTTCGGTTTACAGTAAAATGGGTGAGTACGAAAAAGCTAAAGATTTTTATGAAAGAGCGAAAGAAATTAAAACGAAAACATTTGGACCTGAACATGTACTGCAATAATATACAACAATCTTCATTTGGTTATAAACAAACTATAGATATTGAAACTGAAGCATTTGGACTTCTATTTATCTTTTATTTTCTAGTAGCTAAAATACTCCTGTCTTTGAGAAAACGTACAAGGAGATAGAAGAAGAGGAAATGAATTTGTAGCTCATTTTTAATGAAGAAGAAAATCAATTTCTCTTTTCATTTTAGGTATGTCTTCTTTATACTAAAGCTGATTAGAAACAGTTGTATTGTAGATTTCTTTTGTCAAAGGTTCAAATAACAACAGTTGTATGTTTATAAAAGGTATAAATATATTATTGACAATATTCAAACATTTGTATTTTCAAGTTTTTAACTGTCATTTATTTACTGGAACAGTTTTTATTAAGAAACTTGTATGGAACTATCAAAGTATATTGATGAGTTTAGTTTGCAATATCTAGCTATTCAGAAGTTGTGAAGTTTCTTAAAATGAATGTTGTTGGGTCATTTTCTTGTATAATGAGAGTAAATACTGATCTTACAGCAGCCATGATCATGTAACATCCCTTTTTGAAATGCTGAAAAGCCCACAAGATTTGCTTTGCTATATAAGTATGAATACAGTCTTTTCTATATTTATTTCTATTCATTCATATAATTTACAAAGTATACTTTCTATTTATGAGAATTGTAGTTGTTGAAAATGGACATGCAGTTATTGTTATTTGATTCAATCATACTTGATTTGGGGACTAACACCTTAATTGTTGTGACAATGTTTGTTTTTTTTTACTTTGGAGAAAATAATTATTTAATGATTGATTCAATAATACTTTATTATAGTTCAAACTATAAAGGCAGTGTAAAGTAAAAGTTATAAATAATCTGAAGAAGAAAATGCAGGATATCATTGCCGTAGCAATGACAGAAGTGAAAATGACACATTTAACTGTCCGACTACCAGATTTTAGACTACCAGATTTACTAATATATAAAAAATCCCAGCAGTGGCGCAGGATACTTGTTAATTGGGGCACAAATTCATATATGCATATCTTAATCTGTTGAAAACAATGGATTTCAAAGGAACTTAATGTGGCAGAACATGAATATATGAATATGTGCCTCCTACCCAAAATAAAGAGTCTGCTATGCCATTTATTCCCAGGGCATCTTGAAAAGCTCTAGCATTGTGTGTAACAGTTAGTATTTCATTTTGCAAGGAACTTCTTATTTTTTTTCCAAACATTATTTGAAAATTAGAGAAATTGTGTACAAACTATAAAAAGTTTATATTAGGAATATATTTCTATGACAACACCCTCCTTTAAAGTATGTATCCATGTTCAAGAGTGAATGACATGAGCAGACATTTTTGGCTAATGTCTTTACAACTGATAAGAACAGTAAATGAGTCATTTCTACTGGTGTCTTTACTACTGATATGGACAGTAATGAGTCATTTTCATTGCTATGACATTCATGTCTTGCTTTTGCTATAGTTTATACTTTACATTGCTTTTAAACTGATTCTCCCAGCTACATAAATGATTTCATAGCCTTGATGTGGATATGGACCGCCACAATAATAACATTGTCGCGTCGATTCAGATTGGATGGTGGCCAACATGTCGTTATTTTTGTCCTTTGACTCGATATCCCGTGCTTGATAAGTGCTTTGCTCATCTCTACGGCCGTCCAGCAAAATATCTCTGAGTTTATACTCGGGATTTCTTAGTGCTTTCTTTCGTATCCGCGAAGAAGATCCCGCCATGAATATCTGTTGTTCCACCTCAAAGTCAACGTCATCAAAAGCACACGTTTGAGCTAATTTCCTCAATCGCGTATGAAATTGGTCTAACGTTTCTGCTTGTTCTTGTTTGGCTTCGCAAAATTTGTACACTTCATATCGCCCGATTTTTTTGAGGTTCAAAATATTCCGTTAATTTGGTTTTAGCAAGTTCATATTCGCTGTCGTCGCCTGTATTGTTTAGCTGTCGTAATATTTCACGAATGCGTGAACCATCTTGACAGAGAAGTAATGCTCGTTGTTGCTTTTTATCTTTAATTCCACTCGAGATAATAAACATTTCAAAATCGGCAAGCCATGTGCTCCATCGAGTTGCCAAGCTTACACCAAGTATTTATTCAACAAAAACATTTTTCAACGCATTTATTATCCAGCGTACGTACGTTGGACGGCTATTACCCACGTATATATAACATCAATTTTCATAATAAACTACATTGTATAACTACCAAAAAGTTACATATGACAGTTCAAAAAGTATTTATTTAACAAAAACCTTTTTTAAACATCTTTATTATCCAGCGTACGTACTTTAGGCGGCTATAGACCCATTGCATGAGTAGTATACAGAGCGTCGTTTCTGGCTCACCTCAACTTGAGAAAGCGTCGTTTCTGGCCCACCTCACACCTTAGGACCCATTATATACAAATCTAAGTGCCCCAATCGTAGTTCGCGTACGTATGCTAGCATAATTACAGCGAAGGTCAAAGCCTGGACAACGCCAGGAGCCAAAGACGGCCGGCCCACCCCCCTTGCCTGCGCGGCCCGCCGTCGGGGTCTATTATTTATAAGTAGCGTATAGTAGCGTATAGTAGGGTACGTGGTAAGATGAATAGTGAATTCAGAAGAGTACGCATAAAAAGACAAGAGCAAAAAGAAAGAAGAGAAAGAGAGAAAAAATTGAATAATATAATAATAAGACAAAGAGAACATCTTAAATTACAAACCAGGCTGCTAATACAGACAGGTACGATACAATTAGAAGAATATTTATATTGTATAGAGAATCGAGATGGACACTGTTAGAGAGATTCTATAAACAGGGTGTTATAAGTGGAAGAGCTCAAAACTCATTTCTTGAAGCTTTTCAACCACTAGCATCTACATCAAGAAAGCGTACTAATACAGCTCCATTTGAACCTCCTTCGGTACCATGTAAGCGCAGACATATTAAGCCTAATGACGTAATAGAAATTAGACCGCCTGTTATAACAAATTCCGTAGTTTGGGAAGCTGCGTATGGAAATATGAGCGACCCAGCGTTAATACGCTATAACGCACTTCAGTTTCTAAGTGCAATTCCTCCAAAAACTAAAACTCCGACGCCTCCGGCGGCCGGTTCACCCCCTTTGCCAAACGTGAAGTGTTCTTATTCAGTTCTAGATAAGGAGCAAAAAAGCGAAGGAAAGCCTTCGGAATCATCTAGCGCTTCGTGTAGCAAATGTTCATCAAACAACCGTTGAAGATTCGGGTATTATACTTTCTATATTGAGTGTGATAATTACTCTAGAAGTTCCCATCTGTTGAACAACTAATGTTGCATCAGCAGGTAAGTCTACATCTATAAAATCGCTATAGCTACATTCGTCGTAAGTATACTTCTACTGCTCGGCGAAAGAGATCGTTTGTTGATTCAAAGTCATGAAACGAAGTTTCAGCTACGTTAGACATTTTAATGTTTGTGTGACAAGACACAACTGAAGTGATAACACTATAAATATAAAGTGAAAATTTATTGTTTTAGAATTAAGAATACTCTAAATAATGTACCTGATATCTTCGCGTCCAGTTAATGGGTATTGTACTAACATATGACATCCATTTGTTAGTGGTATCATGTACGAAACTAACATAAGGCCCACAATTTTGTTCAAACACAGTAGATCTAATGTTGAACCACTCGTGTTAAGACCGTTCAAACTTCAAACCAAATGTTTAATAATGCTATTTTATTATTTTCGAGTGTTTTTCCAGTAGGAAACGTTACTAAAGTTACATTTGATTTTGGTTTGGAGTTTATGAATCAAAAGTTTCCGGACTGTAAGAGGGAAACCATTCCATGACATAAAAGACTGGAGTGTTTCAATTTGTTTTTTGAATAGTGTTTGGTTAGAACAAATCTTAAATGCGCGAAAAAATAGGGAATTGATCCAAATAGTTTTGCAGTTGAAAGGTTCGAAACTTGAAAAATGTGTATATTGGCCAGTATGAGTTGTTTCATTACAATTTCATTAGAAATCATAGCTAAAAATCCACGATATCTTTTGTTTTAAATGCATTCGGCTCATATAAAATGATATCGAAAATAATGAGTTACAATGAAACAATGTTAGTGGTCCAAAAACAAAAGAATATTTTACGAATAATAAAAATGACATTGTTTAGTACATCCAAAGAAGTTAAGTCAATTGAACAAAAAAATATTTCTACATTTATACCTGTATAAGATGGCAATCCTTGACAGAAAAGCGAAATGGTGATCCATTATGATCCATTATAAATTACTGAAACTCCAGAACCCTTTAGATTTGTGCTATAAAAATATGAATGTTTAAATAACAAAGTTTAACCATGGGCGGCTCAAAAAATCACTGAAATTGTAAACAAACGATAACTCGCCCATTCCATCAACAGACCAGCCCGGAAACTTTGTATTGATTGATTGTATCTATATTATATATTTATAAAAAATATATTAATAAATAATAAAACAAATACATAAATGAATATATAATATAGATACAATTAATCAATACAAAGTTTGCGGGGCACGGTCTGTTACAATGAAATGGGCAAGTTATCGTTTGTTTATACAATTTAAGTGATTTTTTGGGCCGCCTTTGGTTTAACCTCACAAAGTTAAATCTATAACAAATGTGCTTCGCCAAGAAAATGCTCTAGTGAAAAATGTGAAATCTGTATTTCATCAAGAATTCAACGATGATAATATACCATCAACGTTTGGTGGTTATATTGTTTACCTCTGACTGACCATAACTTTCTTCAATTGTTTTTGAAAGTCTCTTAATGTCATTCCATATTCCATATTTGTTTTAACTTCTCTAGTTTAAACATAACAGGACAATCCAGTGATATACAGCTCAGTTGTTCATCTCTAGCTCCACAACACTGAAAACATATCTACAATATGAAAAAATTAAATGTCATGAAAAAGACAAACCATAATTATTAGGTTATTTATTATGCATACCTCTTTAAGATGACTGTATTTTCTTTCCCAGTTCCCCACTCTACTTGCCAGAATAAAGACAGACTTTTGAGGGTTGCTACGACAACTTTGACACAAACCATGCTGTGTTAATTGTTCACATACAGGACAGTGTAGAGTTGTAAAAAACCGAGAAATCGAACGCTAAAATTTGTTCAAATAAATTAATTTAGCTTTTACATCAATTCATGAATGTACTTATGACAACTAACTTTTTGTTTCCTTGCAATAACACGATGTCGAGGGATATAGCGGGGTAGTTGTGTATACCATGAAAACACATCAACACCAATCAAGGAAAAAACTCGATCCAATGGAGGAAGTATTTGTTTCTGAACATAGTAGATGGTATTGAGGCGTAGATTTTTATCATTTAACACATCAATAGGACTGAAGAAAATTAAAACAAGAAGATTGTTTAATGAAGACAATCATATTTATACTAAAGTATTTATTAATAACATTCCAACAGCTTTTGTCATGATACATAACGTAAAATAATGAAAGACAGCAACATTTGAACTTACTCTTTAACCAATTGAATCAATGGTAGTCCAGGACAGCCGTTAACAATGACGTAAGGTACACGTTCGCCCACGCGAGGTTCCGCGCGACGATCACGTGACAAATGACGTCTATACAAAAATAGAAATAGTAAAACTGTAATCATGACAACAATATAAAGAGGATTTTTCATTTCAACAATAAAATGAACCTTGCAATTTCCAAAGCTGGAACACATGCTTTTGGTTTATATCTTTTCATACCACGATATTTCTTAGAAAAGATGAAATCCCTGAATCGATACTCTATCTTTCATCATTTTAACGAACTGCCGCTGGACAAACTTCTTCACAAGACTCACGTCGCTTTCTTCAAATAAAATCCTTAAAGATTTCTCTAAAATCTGTTAGAAAAATAAAATCACAGACTGCTTTTAACTCAAAATTACCTCCTGCCACCTGCAGAATATTGTTTGATTGGATGACACAGTAAATATTGTCGATTGTTCCATACCTTAGCGACCGCTGGACATGTATCTCGCCGTACAGTCCCTATTCCTTTCGCATCAAACACTGGATCTTTCTGTTTAAATGTTTCGTACATATAACCAACGTAACGTTTCTTTGTTTGAAGAAAACAAGGCATATATACCTAAAAATCATCCCTAGTTATACATAAATGTATCTTAAAGTCCAAATCTCTCAAATAGATACAATTTTACAGTAGATAATAACCTTTTCAAACTTTAGTTTCACAGGTTTAGGATTCTCTGCAGTAACAGCATCAACAATTTCTTTTCCAATCTTAAACGCTTCCTCTTTACTGGCACCTTTTACTAATACGAAAAGACTATCGGTGTCCCCATAGACCACACAAGAACACACTCATCACATGTGTTCACGAGATTGATAGCTCGTTCCAGGGTCTCATGTGCTTTACGAACAATGGCGTCAGCAATCTGATGAAAAACAGAAAAGAATATTCAGATGGTTTTATGAGTAAAATGAATCCAGTATGACAATAAGCACTTGGTAGATTTTCAATCTGAGAACGTGACTTAGTCCAGGCTCGCGATAATCATAATAATCAATATGTATTTATATTATATATATTATATATTTACCAATTATCTGTAGTAAATATATTATATATTTATTGTATCTAAAATATATTTGTGTATTGGTAAATATAAAATATATATAATATAGATACAATCAATTAATACAAAGTTTACGGCGCACGGTCTGTTTAGATGGAATGGGGAGAGTTATCGTTTGTTTAAATTTCTATCATGAATACAAAGTTTACGGCGCACGGTCTGTTTAGATGGAATGGGGAGAGCTATCGTTTGCTTAAATTTCTATCATGACAAGATCAAAGTTACCTCAACACACGGCATTCGTCCTGAGAAGTTTGCTGATGTGTAACCATAAGTGACATTTGCAATCAACTTTAAAGCAAGTTGTCGAGCATCAAGAAGTTGAAGAAGAGTCTAAAATGTAAATTATTTATAATATTGAATGATTAAAGAAAACAAACGAAGAGTGGAAGGCATCTTTTTTGAACATGATGAAAACTCCATGACGTTTTAGCGACTGGATCTTATAAAAACATTAAAGATCGCTTCAAAAACAAATGTTTAATAAAACCAACTTACTTTATCATCCTTACAATCTTTCATCGCTTTCTTTACCATAATACATGTGTATAATATCTCCTCTAACATTCTAAAATAAATCAAACTTATTGAACATACAATAGCCAAAGATATCAAGACCCATTTAGGACAGTAAAGACTTAAGAAGGAACGCTATGTACATTGCAAAATATGCAACAAAATGCAAATGTTATTTTTTCAACAATCTTTTGAATCAATAAAAATGTGACCTGTAACCAAATGAGAATGTGAAATATCCCACATTACCTGGGTAAAATTCCTCGTCTTATGTTAAATTTTACAAAAACAGAGCCGTTGGCACTTACATTAATATCATCTTGTAGTTTCTGAAAGGAAATGTATTGTTTTAAATGTATTGCTTGTCGTGATGGTAATTTATTAAAAATTCTCACCTCCAGTAATGTTGGAGGAACATTCAACGTATAATTGAACTTCCTCAATACTATCAAGAATTATATCATAAACTGTCTTTAAACTTAATTCAATTATTGCGTGTTTTCCTTAAAATCTACAAAATTTAAAGCATATTGATGACTCGAAGTCAGACGTTCCATGGCGTTTCTAATTGCATTTTAGTAAGTAAACTTTCATATTTCTTTCGTTTTTGTTTTACAGTAAAGTAACAGAAAACAAACAAAAGCAAGAACAACTAAAATTCAATAGCGTGTTTAACGTCATTTCTGGTATTTTAACTTCCATTTTTTGATTTTGAATAAATGAACTAAATGGAGAATTGTTTACATACCACGTATGAATTTGTTGTTTTGGTAGAAAGCAACGTTCAGGAGGAGTATCTGACTTGAGATTAATGCCAAGATCTTGTGGAATGTGAAGATACGATCTTCCTTGATAGTCATATGCATCTTTAACTGAAAAATAATTACATTTGGTAAAGTTTAAGAAACTACAAGAAAGTATGAAAATTTTAACTTACTGTGTAATGTGGGTTTCTTTCTGAAGGTTTTATATAATCTTTCTTTGACTTGTTTTTCTTCGATAATTCATACTCCTCAAGGATTGTTGACTCTTCCTGTATTCACCAAGGTAAAACGCAAGAAAAATAATTGTTTCATTTGAAAAATATCTTTATAAAACTCTTTATTTGGGTAATTGAAATACCTCAGATGGTTTAGCAATAGTTTCTTCATCAACAAACTTACTCCATGGTCCTATAGGATAACAGAGAATAAGATATAGTAGGACAACCTTTCAAAAGTTATCATTATTGTAGTAATCGTACCCTTGTACCCATCAATCACACCAGGATCTCCTCAATCCTCTCTCTTCCTCTTATCACTGTTTTGTAGCTTCAAACACATCAATCCCTTGCTATCCTTTGCTTTCTCAACATCCCCAACAAATCTTAATGGATAATAATTGATACAAACAAAATCATTACCAAGCATATGAATTTTCGTACTCTGAGTCAGTATTTTGACAGAGTGCAAAAATTGAGATTTCCCTTTCCATGATCTTCAACTGCTCGTCAATTCTAAACAGTAAATACTAAATCATTACAAATATAAGGCACGGTCAGACAAGCACCTGTAAGTTACATATACATCTCTATTTGTACGTACTTATAAAAACAAGAAATAACTTTTTACTCGATATTCCATCTTATTATTCACAATGTTACGACGTACATTCATAGCTTCAAAATTTTCCCACTTCGTTTTTCTAAATTCACACTGTTTAAGATTTTAATATCTCTAGAAACAAGTTCAACTTTTCGAACATACTTTTTCATCTGATTAAATGGAACAGTCAGTTCACTTGGATCAGTGCAACCATTCCATCGATGGTAAAGATCAGCGTACAAGTCTAGGTATATAACGTACTTGCATTTCCAATCTTCTTCTTTTGTAAGTTGTTCAAGATTTACGTATATTTGTTAAAAAAAGTTTTCTATGGGTAAAACATTTCCACATAATGAGCATCAATAATTATGTGTCAAATCTGTTCCTTAGCTACAAGCCATTGTTTCTCAATTATCAACGAATCTCAACTTCACGACCAAAAAAAGTCGATTCGTCCTTCATCCACTCACGAATATCATCTATTGAAATCCTGTGAGCTTTAGATAATGAAAAAAAGAAAATTTACTGCTTTCATGTGAGTCGTAAATAGTTCATATCCAAAATCGGAGTCAAATATAATCACACAGCAAATACAAACATATACTCACACGGAAAGCACCTGCATAACTTTTCAATATCTGATTTTGCAGTTTCTTTCACGTCAAAAGCTCGCTTCATCCTTGACATCAGCAAATTGCCTCAAAAAACAAAATTTAATTCATACCTGCTATTACATAATATGATGACATGTTAGCTATGTATATGTTCAAACAAAGAAAGAAAAACTAGCTATACCTAAATTAATCTTCGTTTTCTTTCCTTAATGTAAAAGAGCATCACTGAGTACATCAACTCTCTGACTTTGACGCATTTCTTAAGTCATTCTGCTAAATTTGCGAATGTAAGCTCACAATCTCCAACATCTCACCGTCAGTTAGGCCAAATCCTTCTTTACGACGGGGACTAAATTTAACCTTTACAAGAAAGATTTAGTAAACAATTATTGAATTTTTATCATTTTATCATCTACAATACCATTAGTTATGATAGCATAGGTATCACCATCTGTTAATACGTATGAAAAATAAAACAATAACAACTAACTTGGCATCGTCCAACATGCCCATAGCAGTGAAAAATTGGAATTGAAAATTGAAAAATGTCAACAATCGGATCCTCCAAATTCTTTTGTAAAACAAAATAAAGAAAAACATGTGAAAGACTACCTTTTCAAAGAAAAAAGTGTTGAGGGAAAGTTATTGAGGAAACAGGTAACAAAGCAACTATTGTCAATTGAATATTACCTGTAAGTGTTTCACCAACATGCATGCAACATCATACAATATGTTTATTTTGAGTGCAGGATTATCAACATTATCTTTCTCTAATTCTTGGAGAACATAAACTGCATAGCTCAATCTATAAAATATGTAGAATATTTTTTAAATAATGCAACCACATGTATGCAAAAGCTTCAGCACTTGCACAAAGCATTGAAAGTAGCAAACCAACTGAAAAAATAAATTTACACCATCAAATGCATGCATCCTAACCACCTCTTTCAAACCAAGAACATTTAGGTAAAATAGAGAAAAATGTGTGTAACAGACTCTCTCCATGTTTCAAATTTAAGAATTTTTAGGAAACTCATGTCGACAGCCTGCCCAAAGATTGCTGTTTCATCAAGAGCTTTGTAGCGATTCATTGATCAAACAGCATTCCCAGCAAGAAAACCATGACACTTCTATAAGTATCAATATGTAACAAACAAAAAAGTATACAAGAGCTTTATTTCCTAAAGCCCATGGCACAAATTTATTGAAAATAAAAACTATGTGCTAGAGAATGTAAAAAAAATCAAATATATTCAAAGCACTGTAACTTCCATGACTGAATTTTCATTAGAATAACAAAGTATATTAAAGCTACATTGACCTTGTTTGATGTAGGTGTGGTATAATTGGCAACAAATTGATCAACATGTCTCTGATCATAGAACATCAGCTGTCCAAATAGAGGTTTTCTAAGACTCTGCCCAGCTTTTTCCTTCGTCCAATAAATAGAGCATCAAGAGACTCAAAGATCACACCATCAGTCTTCAATAAAATGTGAAGGATAAAATCATGCAATGTATTTGAGTTCAATGATGCAAATGATGCAGTCAAAAAGGTGTTTGAGATAGCATTGCTAATGTTCTTTTTACTAAATTGTCATTGTTAAACAAGTAATATGAATATACTCACTTTGGGACAAGTAGGACAGATATTTCCTTCATCAAGCTCAGGAATAACACAGCTTAACATGTTTAGTTTATGTCTGTAATTTCTGAAAAAAACAATGACACAAAGAAAGCAATTATGCACTCTTAAACAAATGACATAAACAAAATACAGTGCAAGACAGTAATACTTGAGGAAAAATCCTTTCCCATCATAAACTTTAGCATTTTGATTTCCTCCAATTAAATACATCTCTTAAGATGAGATTCTTAGGCTATAAAATTGACTGCAACTTTCCCAGCAATTCATATGTAGTACAAATTGCAGAAGTTGAAAAAACTCTGGAGAGCATGAGCAAAAGTGTACCTCAACAGTACAAAAGGTGCCTAAAAATTGAAAAAGATCCAAAATAATAATTGTGTTCAACAATCCCAGCTAAAATGAAAAAACTTTTGCGGCACATTTTACCTATAACATACCTTTAACATCAACAACAGAGACACTTCTTTTGTGACGAGCTGTTTGGCATGAACAATCATACACCAGCATGTTCATGAGTTTATATGGCCAAAACATGCCATCCTACAAAGCAATGAATAACCTCGTAGAAATTAGTTGTAATCAATCCCCTTTCTTGCATTCATAAAAAATATAAGATTAGTGCTTCATAGCATGTTTCACAATGTAAACTCTCATTTTATTTTTCCTTTTTTTGCTGCAAGTGTTGAGAGAGTTAACTGTAAACACTTTTATAATATCTAGCTCATAAAGGTTACCTTAAATATTTCAACATGATGAAAAATATTTACGGTTGTGTGCATCTTTAACATACAGTTCTCACAATACTTTGCCATTGGACCACAATCCTTGCACCTAAACTTTGCTTCATTATCACAATGAATACACTTCAGATTGCTCCAATTTTTGCCAGCAAACTGAAATGTATTCTTTATAATTGAATGTTGCAAATTTTCCCATGCTTTTTGTTTTCTTTCAACTTTCTGGTAATAAGAAGATGATTCTTCACAATCATGGTGAACATCACTTTCAAGATCACTGTTATCTTGTTCCATTCCCAGTTCATGGCCTTCCAATGCACCACAATTATCAGGACTGTTAAAAGAACAGCTTCCTCTATGATCCTCAGTAACCAATTCTGACAAATCCACCTCCTCTCTCTCAACATGGCCATCCTCATCATGATATGTGACAGCTACAGTTGCTTTAAACCTTTTATTGCTCCTACAAAATTATCATAAAATCTATAAAATGAAAATAAATGTTGAAAAGTCTAACAGCTATAAGGCCGTTATTTGGTGTACCTTGGCATCTTTTAAAATAACCAGCAAGAAAATCACAAATGAGAAAATATTATCGATATTACCAATGACACAATAACATAAGTTAAACGACCAAAGTACAACGTATGTATCTTCCACGACTACCTGCCGACGTTTTGTACCCGTACTTTACCGGCTTTTAGCCACGTCCCATAAGACGAATGGAGTGATTTGTTTGGTTGGTAAAACGAAAGGTGTTTTTCTTCCGGTATATTGTAGGAGCCTTTTTCCTAGGGGATGGGTAACATATCTCACGTGACCAGTAACGTAAATCATTTAAATTATTCCACAGAATCGACAAGAACGCCGCACTTTAGATATCATGTAGTTGGTTGCGTCTTGTAATCTTTCTGAATTTGTGAAGGTATGTTGATTTTAAACTTTACCTTTCGTTGTTATATTGTATTTTGATTTTGTGATTTAATGTTTCATGTCCATTTATCGATTATTTTGTTTTTCTGTAAAATATTCTACTTCCGCGTTATGTACGTATGTAAATGTTTTATAAAGATAAATTTGTTGATTTTGGTGAGATTTGGAACTAGCTCGAATCAAGTTTGGAAAATGAACTTGTTAACTTTCATATATCTTTATATAATAATCAAAAGAAATAAATTTCGACTATATAATAGTAATGTTCTTCATCGATACACATCATGTGCATGGTCACGAGGTAGTAGAGGAAACATGATATTCATGGCTAATTTCGTGAAAGCACTATTGCTAATGCGTATTTAATATACCCCACAAGTTTTTTTAAAATAGACATGTTTCGACATCTCATGATGCCATCTTCAGTATGAGTGAAATAATAAGTGATACAGGGTTTATATCAAAGTAATATGATACATAAATTACAACAATAAAAAGGAAATAAGATAAATTAATGGGGAGCGTCCGAGCGTATTATAAACTAAATATTGTATTGAATTTATAATACGCTCGGACGCTCCCCAATAATTTATCTTATTTCGTTTTATTGTTGTAATTTATGTATCATATTACTTTTACATAAACCTTGGACACAGAATATATACTTTACAGAAGGGCCACTCTTGAGTTAACTTGTCGCTAATTTTCACTCATACTGAAGATGGCATTATGAGATGTCGAAACATGTCTATTTTAAAAAAACTTGTCGTGTATATTAAATGCGCATTAGCAATAGTGCTTTTACGAAATCGTGTAATAAAAAATTAATGCCCAATATAAAGTTTTAATTAGAGCCATAGAAATAGACCAAAAATATTGTAAAATTGAATTTATTGTAACTTTTCGTCTTTACTGAAGACATCTTCAGACAAAAAATAAATAGGGTGTTAAGGACAAGATATTATATTTACAAAAGGGTGTTAAATTACTACTAAAGGAGGCGGTGTCAAATGGATTATATGATAAGGAAGTTTAAAAGTAATAAAGAGAAATTAAAGAGGTTAAGTGGAATGGAGTTTCCTTGCACGTTAAGTGAAGGCTTGTATTTATTGATTAGAAGGCTCTCATGAGTGGAGAGTTCATAAGAATCGTTAGAAGAGGAGATTATTTTAAAGTCGTCTAAGTTGGGGCTGTGTCCAGTTGCGTTAATGTGAGCAAAGATGCTTGATAACGCAGGGTGGGAAACTTGGTTGCCTGTAAGGGGGGATATTTCCAAGTGCTCCGAAAATCTGGTGTGTAGATGACGTGTGGTCACCGCATGTGTGGTCACCGCATCTTCTACTTTGTTCTACTTACGAAAATTTTCATACACACCTCGAATTTACCAGAAAGTCACTTACTAAAAACGGTTTTCCTTCACGTATAATTGACCAAATCACACGTCGCTTCCTTAACAACACCTCTAAACCACCTGTCTTGACTGCTCACAAAATGCCCATCTGTTTTTGTCTTCCTTTCACCGACATACACTTCCTTCAAATTCGTACACAAATCAATAGCCTTTATGCTGCAGCCTTCCCACATATATCTATTATTTGTTTTGCGCCCTTCCCAACGTATCTCTTCTTTCTTTCCTTTAAGGACAAAATTCCCAAACCTCTGAGATCTGGTGTAGTCTATTTATTCAAGAGTCGAAGCTGCAACGCCTCGTATGTGGGTCAAACCACACGTCATCTACACATCAGATTTTCGGAGCACTTGGGAATATCCCCCCTTACAGGCAACCAAGTTTCCCACCATGCGTTATGAAGCATCTTTGCTAACATTAACGCAGCTGGACACACCCGCAACTTAGACGACTTTAAAATAATCTTCTCTTCTAACGATTCTTATGAACTCTCCATTCATGAAAGCCTTCTAATCAATAAATACAATCCTTCACTTAACGTGCAAGGAAACTCCATTCCACTTAACCTCTTTTAATTTCTCTTTATTTTACTTCCTAACTTCTTTATCACATAATCCTTTTGACACCGCCTCCTTTAGTAGTAATTTAACTCTTTTTTGTAAATATAATATCTTGTCTTAACATGCTATTTATTATTTGTTTGAAGATGTCTTGAGTAAAGACGAAACGTTACAATAAATTCAATTTTACAATTTTTTTTGTCTATTTCTATGGCTCTAATCAAAACTTTATGTTGGGCATTAATTTTTATTACACGAATTCAATTTCCGCTCGGCAAGTCTCTCGCTACTATTTTACGAAATGCTGCCCTACTTTTACGGTGTATACCCATTTCCCCCCACTATGTCTCTGTTTGTTGGGGGTGGAACAAGTTTAAACGTATCATTGTCAATTAACGCTTTCATTTCATCATTCATGGCTTTTTGCCATTTTACTTTTTCATTGGAGCTTATTGCTTGGGAATATGTCGTTGGGATGTTGGATACTCTATAGCAATAATCTACGGTATATGAGACAGTATCCTCCCCTGAAACTTCCTCTGTCACATACTCTTCAAGATATTTAGGCTTACTTCTTATCCTAGTGGGGTATCTTGATTCTCTAGATGTCTCTGGAGTACCAATGTCTTCGTTAGTTGTTTTGGGGTTTCTCTCATGCAATTTTTCTGAGGTGCAAGTTCTTCATCATCTAGTTCTAGTAGTTCCCTGCTACCCTCCCTGAAGAAATTAACGCATCTTACACGCTCTACCTTGTTAATGTCAGGGTAGTATAGTAGATATGCTGGACTGTTTTTATCACACCCTACGAAAATACCTTGTTTACGTCTAGGGTGTAACTTTTTGGAATTTTGTGAATAACCATAACAAACACAACCAAAAACGTGCATTTTGCTAAAGTCTGGTTTTGAGCCTGTAAACGCTTCGAACGGAGTTTTGTTCAACCTCGAATTAAAACAACGATTCCTAATATAAGCAGATGCCATGACGGCATATGTCCACATGGATTTTGGTAGTTCCGCTTTTAGCAATAGACACCTAGCCATGTTAAATAAAGTTAACCACGATCTCTCAACTGTGCCGTTCTGGTGTGGCAAATATGGTGCACTAATTTCATGCCTAATTTTGTTTTCCTAAGAATCGATTTGAATTTCTCGCTTGTAAATTCAGTGCCGTTATCACTTCTTATGCGCTTCACATTTCCGTATAGTGCAACATCTTCTAAAAACTGTTTTGATGCTTGTGGTGTATCGCTTTTATGCTTAAGAAAATAGACCATATTCAATCCTGAATAATCATCCACAAACGACAATGCATATCTAAACCCTTCTCTTCCTTCCGGATCAATAGGACCTGCAAGATCTGTGTGAATAAACTCAAGAGGACCCCTCTTCTTTTTATCTTCCAGCTTACTTTTCGTCTGACACATTTTACCTTGCGTACAAACATCACACTCAACTTCCCTCAAATCTGTGATTTTCATCCCCTTAACTACCTTCTCTAGTTTCCTAACATCCGTGTAGTTGCAGTGACCTAGAACATTGTGCCACTCCTAAAGAGAATAAGCATTTTTATTCGAAGATGATATGCTATTTATATAGTAAAGTTTGCCTTTTTGTCTTATTCCAAACATTGTGCCATCAGGTCACTGTACATGCTTATCGTGTTTATCTAATTTCATTTTGCCCCCTTTTCTACGGAAGCATTTACTGAGAATATATTTTGATCGTAAGATGGAACATATAAGGCATTACTTAATAAGACATCTTGCGCATTTCCATGCAAGTCAACTAATTTGACTTTAGCAGTACCTTTACCAACTACTACCTTGGCTTACTGCCATTTGCTAACTCAATAACATGCGCTTTACCATCAAATTTACTATCAAAATCTTTAAATTTTGACTTATCGTTAATAATGTGGCTTGTAGCTCCTGTGTCCACCAGTAGAGTTAAATCCTTCACGTCTGCTTCAGCGTTGTTTTCTTCTTCATCCTTTGACACGAATAAAAAGAAGTGTTGCCGTTCACTGGCACATCGCTGCTCGTCTTTAGATGACTTGGACGTTTCTTTCGTCTTTCGGCAAACTTTCGTGTCGTGGGTCTTGGTCTTGCATATGGAGCATCATTTGTTCCCCTTCACTTGGCATTGTGAGTTTTTCTGTCCCTTTCTTCCACATTTGAAACAATTTCCGTCAAATTTTGGTTTCACATACATAACGTTGTCACCTACCTCAGTTTTTGGTGACAATGGTTTGATATTTTCTTCATGACATCGTAACGAGTTTTTAAATTTCGTAAATGTCATTTGTCTTTCCCTTTGAACTGTTATGGTAGCAAAGACGTCGTACGTGCTTGGCAGACCCTTTAAAACCATTGCAATGAGTAGTGCATCACTTATTATCTCCTTTGCTTCTCTTAAGGCTGTTGCCGATCGTTCCACTCGCAATAAATAATCTGTGACAGTCTCGTCATCACTTTTCTACAGCGAAGTGAGTTCTGTGAAAAGAGCGGTGATGCGAGATTTTCCTCTGCCTTGATAGTGATGTCTGTGGATTTCTAAAGCTCTCCGTCCATTGTCTTTCGCCTCCCGAATCACAAGAGACAAACTTCTGTCGTCCAGACATTGGACCAACACTGCAAAAGCGTGAGTCAGTTAGAGAACTTTGTGTGTCAGTTAGACAAATTATTAAACACCTTCCTAAGTGATAATACAACTCAGTACCTCCATTTTAATTCCAACATGCGGTGGAGTCGCTAAAATGGGGCGTGGAAAGGGGGCACGTGCCCTATAAATATTTACTGTGCCCCCCAAGTGCCCCCCATTTGAATTTTATATAAGAGTCTTCATAGGCATCATTTGAAATTGAAAAAGAAGCACATGGAATTAATGTAGCTCTTACGAATTCGCACAACTTTACTGTAAAAGGAAGCATTCTATTAGCTGTGTAGACTAGTTTGTAATGCATTTACCCTTTCTAGGTTGTTAGCCGAGTGGTAAAGACTTTAATTTCTTAAAAATAAAAAAA